TTTCTGTAATACTTTCTGTAATACTTTCTGTAAAACTTTCTGTAATATCCATCCATCCATTATCTTTACCCGCTTCTTCCATTTGGGGTCACAGGGGTCGCTGTACCCATGTCCATCAATCACTGTGCGAGGGACGGGGGACACCATGGACAGGTATCGAGTCCATCACAGGGACACATAGAGACAAACAAGACAAACAACCATTGTCTCTCTCTCTCCTAGGGACAATTTAGAGTTACCAATCAGCCTAACATGCATGTTTTTGGTCTGTGGGAGGAAACCGGAGTACCCGGAGAAAACCCACGCATGAACAGAGAGAACATGCAAACTGCACCCAGAAAGGTTCCGGACCGGGGTTTGAGCCGGCAGTGAACTGATGGTACAGGAAAAAAACAGAAAAACATGGGAAAAACATGGGAAAACCAGGAAAAGTATGAGGAAAACACAGGAAAAAACATGGGGTTAAACATGGGAAAAACATGGGAAACACACGGGTAAACCACAGGAGAAACGAGAAAATTACGGGAAAAACAGGAAAAACGGGAAAAACACAGGAAAGGAATCCCAGAAACAAGTCAACACAAGAACAAACTTCAACCATAAAAACACGGCACGCTGAAACGTGATGTGCTGGTAGCCAGTATAAAGACCATTAATAAACCTTCACATGCACTCATTTTCAGGTTTTGCATCTTGACTAACTTTATTCACATCACAGTGCGATCAATATCAGTGTTTTATGAACCTGCTTAGTGTTTATCTGCAGCATGTGTGCGTTCAAGTTTACATTTATGTCGTTTTGATTCATGCGTCTGTCGCTGGTTTGACCCATTTGGAAACTGCAAGCCCAGATGAACAAGTGAACGTTCATTCATGTGCAGGATAGATGTGTGTTTGTGTTGCTGTGTAAATAAATAATGCTCATTTCTACTTTTTTATCAGCTGTAAACAAGTCTGGTTTGATTTAATCAGCAGACTGAGGGCTTAAGAAAAATGTTTTTAGACAATTATTTTAAAGGTACTCACTGAAAAAAATTAAATTAAACACAAACAAATATTTGTAGTCTGAAATAGTTTGTGTCAGTAGTTTTCTAGATATAGTGCAATGTGACTGTAAAGTGCAGGTCGCTCAGTGTCAACAAAACCCTCAGCTGGACCTGCCAACAGCCACGTCATGCATCAGACTGACTGTACCTGCAAACAAACATGGAGGAACAGAGTGGGGAGAAGATGTTTCAACTAATTATAAAAGTGAATCTGCTGCTAAATATACGAATGAAATGGAAAGATCAAATAAGATATCTGCCACGAATAAACATGAGGGATCAAGCAAGGCGGCAACTTCTGCCAAACTTCTTCTAGACCAGTACATTTTCCATTTGAACCTCATTTTTTATTGATCTGCATGTTTCCTCAACCAGTCTGAGAGTAAAGACGTGCCACCACGACTCATCCAGCTCTAACGGCTCTTCCACAAACATTGCCATTGTTGACTTATTTTCAGTTTGTATCTTAGATCCTTATTTACTGTTTATTTTTATATTTTACTTTTGTTGGATGTCCTGAGTACATGATTAATTAGTTCCACCTCGTGTACCATGTGTGATGCGAATGACAATAAACTTGAACTTGAATAACATCAGCGATTTCCATAAGTTAATAAGCGTGGTCATTTACAACCTGCCACACATTTTATTAACAATTTACTTTCATTTAAGAACAAATTTACCATCAATTAGATAAATAATTGTGCTGATTTTGTTCGTTACTTCATAAATTTGTTTTAATCAGGTGTTCATGACTCATCCATCCATCCATCCATCATCTTTACCACGTCTTCCTTTTCAGGTCACGAGGGTCACTGGTTCCCATGTCCAGCAGGCACTGTGTGAGAGGCGGGGGACACCTGGACAGGTCTCCAGTCCATCACAGGGACACATAGAGACAAACAATCGTTCACGCTCACATCTAGGGACAGTTCAGAGTTACCATCAGTCTAACATGCATGTTTTTGGTCTGTGGGAGGAAACTGGAGTACCAGGAGAAAACCCACACAGCACGGAGAGAACATGCAAACTCCACCCAGAAGGCCTCCAGCCGGGATTCGATCCGGTGACCTTCTCACTGAGAGGCAACAGCTCTACTAACTGAGCCACCGTGCCTCCCTTTAACCTGACTTGGGTAAATTGCACAAACACAACCTTCATGAATAATTCTGAGTGTCATCCTAAACACAACGCTGGACTGCACAGATGAGGACCAGTCAGCCAGATGTTCCTCCACTAGAGTCGCTGCTTTAACAGTGAATGTGTGAAAAATGAGTCTGCACCAGGGATCTTGAACTAAACTGCTCAGGAGCTACAGTTACTGAGAGTCAGCAGCTTTGTTGGAATGAATCATAAATGCAATAACCAGAACCCAGAACCCCACCCCCACAAAAAATAATTAATAAATATATTTTTAAACGAACTCATTGGTGGACCGGACTGCAGTCACCTGCAGGCCGGAAGTGGCCCACGGGCCGCCAGTTGAATAACCCTGGTCTAAACTTTGATCCATCTCTGGAGCTGAAACAAGAAGAGCTGCAGTGTTTTTCTAACGTTCTGCACATTGAAGCTGATCTCCACGATACGTGCATGTTCATGTGCAGTGGATCCATTCTGCCGTGCGCTCTGCTGCAATCATCCTCTGTGTCTGCAGTGCATTTTCTCTCAGAGCACAGCTGGAACATGAATCCTGCTCTGCAAATGTCATCAGATCGTCGGTACTCCAGTGATGCAGTAAAGGGCAGCGCGCGTCACCGTCCGCTGATGCCATGTCACACTCATACAGCAGGTGGTGTCCACTGAGACACGGACGAATGAATGAAAAGGATCAACATGCGGCTCACCTGCTGCAGGGACGAGATGACCACAAAAAGAGGGATTTCCAGGCAGATGTCTTCAAGCTGCTCATTCACATTCTCCTCATTCGCTTCTCTGGACCTTCTCTGAACTGCGAGGCAGACGAGTGATTCCCACAGCAGCAGCCCCTCGGTGCTGCATCCAGCGTGATGTGGAGTTTGTTTTCCTCTGCAGCGTCTGGTCAGAGGATGTGAAGCGGTGACACAACCGACAGAAAGAGGCAGAACGAGGGAGAGAGAGGGTGAGAGAGAAAAGGGGAGGACGAGGAGAATTATCCGACCCTGTTCTGCCTGCAGTGATCAGTTTCCATACTCCCGCTCGCTCACGTCACAACCCTCCATCCCTCCCTCCTCCTGACAGCCCTCGGGTCCTTTACGCTCCTGCTCTTCTCATTCTTCCTCGCTCCTCTTTCCCAGAGCTTTCCATCAGGTTTATTGTGACACACTTCAGTCAGAACATCAGCAGTGGAGCAGAACAGGCAGTGAGAAATCAAGAGGGGGTCTCCTCGCTGGAATATTTAGAGGCGGCAAGAAAAACACTTTTCTCACAATTTTAAGGAAAATTCAAGAAAAACGAGACTCGATGTTGATCTGGTGGGATTGGAAATCTACGACGCATAATGCAGTGAATAAATCTGCAGTTTAAACATCCTGCTATCAGAATAATCCATATTTAATCCATAAAGAACCTGCACATGGTGAATGTACCTCCAACACCCTGATCCAAGCAGCTGCTGTACTGAGAAAGGCTTGGAGATGACAGCTCTGCATGAAGACACTGGTGCCAGTCACTCACTGGTGCCAGTCCCTCACTGGTGCCAGTCCCTCACAGGTGACAGTCCCTCACTGGTGCCAGTCCCTTACTGGTGACAGTCCCTCACTGGTGACAGTCCCTCACTGGTGACAGTCTCTCACTG